ACTCGTATTCCGATGGAAGTGTATGTGTATGTCTAGTTCAGGTTTGGGGCTAACTTGTTTAACCACCACCACGCAATGCAGTAGTGTTCTCCTCGAGTCCTTTCTCAGCCGTTCATACTTCAGCAGGGCTGCTGTAAACTGGTTTTATTAAACACAGATTGTAAATTCCTTTTTTCTTTCTCCGTCACTAGCAATTGTATGCCTTTTCTCATGCCTTTCTTATATTAGAAGAAGTGTTTAACACAGTAGTTACACGTGACCAATCTTTATACGAAACCTTTGTTTGCTTTTACAGGTGAAGCTGCTAATAGGCGCATACCGAGTGCAGTTGCAGTGACCTCCCAGCTGCGAGCATGTTGAGCGGACTGACGCTTTTTTGGATGTACTTCTGATGTCCTCTGTTTAGAGACTGACAAAGCAGTTTGGAACGTTTTGGCACCACACTCTTAAGACTAAGTTCCCATCTCACTGTCGCTCGTTGGCAGTCACATAGGAAAGTGTGTGTTGGAGAGCAGCTGAATACGCTGCGCTGGTGGGACAGGGTTGTCAGCTTTTTTTACTTTGTACAGATGTAGATGTAAGTATTTGTGCCAATACATATAATTCTGTTTTTCTTTAACTTGTGGAGTCCAGACTGCGTATTTCAGCTTTTCCACAATGTGGAATGGTGCATATAAGAACTATTTAAGGTAACCATGTGAAATGTCTTTTTTAATAGAAAGATCTTTTCCATTTGTAAACTAAAATTTTTTACTTACTCTAACTGTAACGTTTCTATGTAAAATGCAGAACTGTCATATTCTTGGAGCTGTGGGCAGAAATCACACGTCGAAGTCACCGCATTAGATTTAACTTTGAATTGCTGAGGCCTGTGTTCTGGTTTGAAACTTTCCCTGCTACCGTCTCCCGATGAGAAAGCGGTTGTGCTTAGAGTGCTTCCCTTAAAACAAGCACAGTGAGGTCTGCAGGTATGAACAAAGACATCTGAATAGGCTCAATTCACGGAGGATCGCAGTCAGATTCCCAGTTGTTATATCAGTGTTTTAAAACTGCTTTTGGATTGGAGAAGCAACTGACGGTAGTTTTAGACATCTGAACTTCTGAGTTCTCAGTCAAGTTGCATACGGGAAAACAAATACAAGCTGAGAATAGCAAACCAGAAAACTTGTAACCACCTTAAATGTGCAGTCAAGGCTTTTTGTAGACAAGAAGATTCAGAGGATTTCAGATGTTCTCAGTCTGACAGATGAGAACATGTATTGTCCTTCAATTCAGAAATTCAGTTCCTCAGTGCAAAGAAAGAGCTGCCTTTTTTTTTTTGTTTGGTGGGGTTTTTTTTACTTAAATGACCCATTTTATCAGATGACAGCAGTTCTGTAATGGTCCAAATACAAATGTAATACTTCTGCATGAAGTATAGAATATTTTTCTCTGTAAATGAACCATCTTGAAATGTTTAAAAAAAAAAAAAGGAAAAAAAGAAGGGGGGGAAAAAAACCCCAAACCTGATTGTGCCTTTGCTGTTCTGGTTGCCACGTGTAGTTTACATGCCGCTATGTGCCTATATTGTTAGCAAAACTATCGTGGATAAATTCTTAATGTATTTGAGTGCTCACCATCAAAATGGTGCAATGTATTAAGTATCCTTTGAAGAACTGTTGACTTTTTAATATAAAGTTCAATTAACCAGTTTTTAATGTTTGGTTCTTGAAAGTTTAAAACTTTCATATTTAAGAGATGCCAAATGAGTAAGTAACAAAGCACACTATTTCAATTTTGTGGAATGTCACATTAAGCTATATAAAACTAGAACAGCAACATGACATGCAAACACTCATTTCTGTTTTGATTTAGACTAATTGCCTATCTTTTTGCAAACAGTATTGATGAGCTGTTAACAAGTCCGGGTTTTGAGCAGACTTGGTACCTCCACCTCTCTGCAATATGTTAAGATACCTCATTTTGCAAAGTGTGAACACCTGAAATGCATGAAAAACACAGGTGGAGGATCAGGTATGTCACCATCGGCACTGGGGACTTCGTGTAGCTACAGTTCTTCTTAGTCGCTGTGCGTAACCCTGGATGATGAGTAAGGAAGGGGGACGTTATGTTGGAGTGACAGTTTTCATGTACCCAGCTACCCCTTCCCCAGTTACTCCTGCATTGTACACGTAATGGTAGAGTGTGTGTGTGTGATAAGCTCTGTACAGCACGTGTCAGTGGTAAATGTTGGAGCTGTTCAAGGTGGGGACAAAAGGTTTTTGAACAAATGTCCAATAATATAGATGCTATTTAGGAACTGTTGTACAGTCTAACCCAAAAATGTCTAGTAATGCTCCAAGAGTTGACATAGCAAGTAGTTTGTCAAAGGCTGTTGATTTTGAGGGTTTGTTTTGTTTGGGGTTTTGTGTTTGGTTTTGTTTTTTTTCCTTGAGACATTTGGGAGAGAGGGAGGAGTTTTACAGGACATAGGAATAAAATTTGGGTTCATGATGCTTTTACTGAGGGATGGATTTTGCAGCCATCTTTCTTTTAGATGGCGATATAAATTCAGAAGCCCTACTGAAGATGCATAAAAGTCATATGAAAAGATGTTTGAAGCTGTTTTTTTGTCTCATTTTATTATGGTTTTTATTCAGTTGCTAAGAAAGGTTTTGGTGGACAAAAGATGAAGACAAAGTAGCTACAATAAAAAACAATTCTTAGGTGCTGTAGAGAAACACCTTTGAAGTACTCGCTCAGTTTCTTCTTGCCGCTATCTGTCAGCAAGGCAAAGCAAAGCAGCTGCAGTAACTATAAACTGCAATGGCAATAAATTGTTCTGAAGGCTTGGATTCATTATGTTTCACTGCTACATCATCAGTACTTGCGATCCTGGCTTCTTCCCCAGATACTGAGGGTTGGTGGGTAACACAGCTGACTTTATCACAGGTCCTTTGTGCTTTCTGCACCCATTTTTCAAAAATGAGATGTCTTTTGATCAGTCTGAAATGGAAGACTGGCTGCCATCTTAGTCAGCTAGGACTGCTCAGAGTGCCTGAGGGCCATCCTAAAATGTTCTGCCTGTCTGTACCTGCGGTAATTCTGTTATCACCATTTGCCTTCCCATACAGTACTGGAAAACAGCCAGTGTAAAATCTTTTTCCTTCAGGTCAGTCGTTCAGAGCAGTGGCAGGTTGTTAGCGTGGGAGCTGAGACAGCATTGCTATACGAATGTATCACGCAGGGTCTTCAGTTTTGCTGGAGTCGCCCTCTGTAACGTGGAGGTGTGACGGAGTCTTACCTTTTAAGGGAAGGATAAAGGCCACATTTTTCTAAGCTAGTGGTGCAGCATGGTTAAAATTCCTCAGCTTCTGGAATGGTTCTTTTTGATTTCAAGTCAACTGTTCATCCACAGCAAAGTCTCAGCTGTTGTGTGGGATAGCTACAACCGAATTCTTTTCAAGAATTTCTGTAGTAGTTCCTACACGATTTGAATTGTAAGGAACTCCTCTGTGGTTAGTTACTGTTGGCATGGACTCATTTATAGAAGATGGGTCAGACCTTAACATTGCCTGGCTCCTCTCACGCGCATGTCACCCTTAAAACGAGGGTGGGCTTAGCTCTGGCTTTTAAGACAACCAAAACCATGTCTGTGGGAACTGATGACATTGTCACCATACCCAGGGAGACCGCTGCCTGCTCCAAAGCTGGAGGACAGCATTACCCATGCAGTGACCTCTTGATCCTTATCACAGCCCCTCACTTTCGGACAAGAAGCATCGTTCCCTCCAGCTGTTACTTGTACAGACTTTCAGTAGCCAAGTGGAGAGAGTATGAATTTGGGCAAGAAAAGCCCAGTTAGGCCCGTTACAGCAGATACCCAGGGAGACCGCTGCCTGCTCCAAAGCTGGAGGACAGCATTACCCATGCAGTGACCTCTTGATCCTTATCACAGCCCCTCACTTTCGGACAAGAAGCATCGTTCCCTCCAGCTGTTACTTGTACAGACTTTCAGTAGCCAAGTGGAGAGAGTATGAATTTGGGGAAGAAAAGCCCAGTTAGGCCCGTTACAGCAGCTGTACATCTTACACTGAACACCATCATCCCTATTATGGAAGAAAAGCTGCTATCCCTGCCACAAACCGTAACAGCCAGAGCCCCAGCCAGCAAAGGCTGTGCTTGCTTTTTTTTTTTTTTAAGAAGGCTTTACTAAGCTGGTTGTGCTGTCCTGCCTGGGAAAGTCTGCACAGGAGATGTGCAAGCATTTCAAATTTCCCTTGCTTTCCTAGATCTGTCGCCTCCACTGTCTTAATATTCAACAGTTTGTACGTCTGTGAACAGTAGGATGAAGGTCCCTAAACCACAAGTGATACCACCCCACATGACCCCCTGGTCTGGGTCCCCTGCATTCACCCTTCCTGAAACAGAAGGGTCACCAGGAACTCCCAGTGGTTCCACAGTGTGGGGAGACCAATTAAGTACAGCAGGACAGTACTGACTTGCACTATTTTTATTAGCGGTATGACACAACACTTGCATACACTGAAAAGTATACAAGACTGCCTCGTTACTCTGCACCGCTAAGATAGACCATCTTCTCTATCCCCTTCCATTACACAGCTCAAGAGAAGACTTCCTACCCCCCGACCTCCTGTTTTCCAGACTGAACAAACCCCACCATCTATCCCCATGGCTCCTATGCTCTAACCTCCTGATCATCTTGGGGGCCTCCACTGGACTTCTTCCCATACATATCTTGTCTGGTCAGTCTGGGAAGCGCTGAACAGAGAGGAGGGATTGCTCTCCTTGCCCCTGCTCAGCTGTGCTCTTCTAATGGAGCCCAGGATGACCCCATCAGCAAAGCTGATTCTGCAAAGCTGCTTCGCAACCAGTCTGTGCCCAGGCTGCACAACTGCATCAAGTGAATTCGGTACCCACTGCAGGACTGCACATTTGCCTTGTTTGGACTGGGTGAGGTTCCTGTCCGGCCCTCAATTCATGTTCACTGCCTTGTTGATTTCAGGAAATAGAACATAAACATCCTGTTATTCATAGATCAGTTTGAAACAGTTTTATAATAGATAGAGAAACCCTCACAAAAACATGGTGATATATTACAGTGCAATGTTAAAATCTCTTCGCATCAAAATTCATCTTCCATTATTCATTTCATTCATGGTTTTTCATCTTTTTATTGGGCTACATTAGGACAGCAGGCATTTTTATCATAACTTCCAACTCAACTGCACAGACAGTGAAATCTTGCTGCAGCTTTAATCTCCCCATTGGTTAACATTTCATTCCAGTCCTTTTAAGCTGTTGCTGGCTCATACAATTTCTCTAGGTAACTAATACTTCTGAGCTCTTTTAAACTCTACTGCAACTTAAACACAATCCACACTGTTGTTTTTTCTTTAAACATAAACCCCACCACTTTCCTATCTTTTGTCACGTATTTTAGTGCTTGAAAATACCTTCTTACTCATTTCATTTAACTCGAAGGCTTGTTTTATGTCCAAAACCAATCATTTAACCAAGGAGCAGCCTTCTAATATATCATTTACTCTGATCCCTGTTCTGGCGTGTACAAACTTCAATTCTTTTAGCAACGCCATTTCCCAGTACTAGTATTGGAGGTCCGGAAAAAATCTGCTTCCAGAACAGCCTAGATAAAAAGGGAGTCAAGACCTCAGTTACACATCAAAGTTGGCCAACATCAGCTTCACTGTGAAATGCTCGACTTTGCTTAACACTGGGTAGGTACCACCACCTCTGCCGGAGGCTGACGACAGTAACGTCACAAAAGCTGTAACTCGTCTCCTCATACAGGAAAAGGCATCTTGAACATCACAAGCAGACATCGTATTCAGACTCTTCTGATGGGTCTTTTCCAATCCGGGGTGCTGGTGGGGGACACACCACCTCCATGCTGGTCCCCTTCCCACCATTTCAAACAGCCCTATTCCCTCAGGCCTCACAGGGCAGACCTGTCTACAAGCAGAAAGAAAACAGCTAAGTGAGAGCAATCGATTCATCCCTCTCCCCCGTTCAGCTAGGTGCTACAGATTTAGTTACTATTTTACTAGATGAACAGCATTATTCTTGTGCCCAGGAGCATAGAGAGCAATGAAGAAACAAAGAACACCTGTTAAGCACAAAAGTAATACAAAGAGACTGATAACGGAGCGCAAAGGAACCAGATTACATCACAAGAATCACAATCACTGTTAAGCGCTCTGACGAGTGACAACACGATTATATTCTCACCCGCGGTGGTCCTTGTAATTCCAACTTGAAAGGCAGCATTTTGTACACAGTCACGGTATAGCAGAAAGCCATCTTCAGTTCCAAGGGTGCATAGCCACCAGCGGTTTTCACTGAAACCTAATGCAATGGAGAACATTTTCAGGAAATAAATACGATTCAGGCTGAGGAGTTACAAGAGATACTTAAGTGATAACTTCCTTGAAAACGTACTTTTGTAATCAAAGTACAGCAAACAACAAGATTCAAATAGCAGACTACAGAGCAATGCATTAGCAAGTACAGCTGGATAAAGACCTGGGGAATGCTAACGCTTTCCCACCCAGCCCTTCCAGGAGGTTACCGGGAATTCTCTACCACTATTCAGGAACCCCAGCAGCAGGCAGCCTGACAGAACATTTTGACCTCACTACAAATTAAATTGGAGCCCAGCGCATTTTCTGGTAGAACTGTATGCAAATGTATTTCAGAGTTGAAGAAGGGAATGCAACGGCACACCGAGGCCAGCTCTCGTAACTACAAAATGCTGCTCAGCAACAAGTTAAGGAAGAGCAAACTGAGCAGGTGTAACTTTTTCTTATGTGACTGATTCGGCTTGCTCTCACAGTCTTTTGCAACTTTTTCAGTTTGCTGTTGCACACTCTACCCCAAATACAATGCAATCCACTCTTTTTTATCTCATCGTCCCTCAATTTTTAACGCGATTTAATTAGGCCATTAGGCTTCGTCAGCCAGGTTCACGCTGCAATGTGAAGTGCACACACACAAATGAATAATGGGAAGAGAGAAAGGATTTTATCGCTCCACTGAGATAAGGAGTCATTATTTAGCCAGTCAAAGAAACACTTGTATCTCCAAGGAACCTTGGCCATCCGCACTTCCCTTCACAGGAAGGAAACTAAGTTGAGGACAGAAAAATTCCGAGACGCCTGGGAAACCTGCCAAACGCCGAGGCTCCCAAATGGCTCTTTTGCACAGGGGCAGTGTGATACATAAGGACAAGCAAGAAGGCTGAATTCCCAACAGCTACATGGTCAAGACAAAACGTCAGCTAGATAGAAAAATCTCGAGTCAAACTTTGAAAAAATTAATGAAGTGTTTTTTCTGTTACTACTATTATTTTTCTGATAAAAGAGTTTTAACTGTATTGTCTTTTTTAGATTTTTTTGAGTAAATGCTTGTAGCTTGCATATTTCCATGGCCTGGTGTATATTACACATTATTGTGTGATTGTATTATGATTCTATTGTGATTTTACCACAACTAGAAAATAAGAGGGAACTCCTTAAAGGGCAAGGCAAAACCACGAAACAAGGCCTGTGGGAAAATCAGTTTTCCCACCTCCTCAGTGCCCCCCCTTCAATGTCTAATAGGTAACAGCATCCAGGCTAAGGAACACTTAAACTGGACACAAGTTAAGTGCGTTGGGCCTGATGGGAGGCAGCCACGAGCGCTGACGGAGCTGGCTGATGGTATGTGAGGCCGCTCTCTTATCCCTGAAAGGGCACGGCAATTGGGAGAGGTGTGTGAGGACTAGAGGACAGCAAATGTCACTCCGATCTTCAAGAAGAGCAGGAAGGAGGACCCAGAGAACTACAGGCCCTGGGAACGTGACAGACCAGCTATTCCCGGAAACCATTACCAGACCAAGCAGGGCAAGAAGGTAACTGGGAGTAGTCAGCATGGATTTACAAAGGGGTCATTTGCAAATCCTTAAGGATCCTAATCTGATAGCCTCTATGATGAGGTGACCAGTTCAGTGGATATGGGGAGAGCAGTGGATATTGTCTTCCTTGATTTCAGGAAGGTTTCTGACACTGTCTGCCATATCGTCTTCATTGACAAGCAGATGAAGGACAGGCTAGGTAAGTGGACAATGAGGTGGACTGAAAACTGGCTGAACAGGTGGGCCCAGAAGGTTGTGATCAATGGCACAAAGTCCAGTTGGAGGCCAGTAAGTAGCAGAGTACCCCAGGCATCAGTACTGGGGCCAGTCCTTTTCCAACATCTTCATTTACGACCTGGATGACACAACGCACCCTCAGCAAGTTTGCAGGCGATACAAAGCTGAGAGGAGTGGCTCATACACCAGAGGGTCATGCTGCCATCCAGAGGGACCTCAACAGGCTGGAAAAATGGGCCCACAGGATCTCAAAGTTCAACAGAGGGAAATGCCAAATCCTGCACCTGGGGAGGAATAATCCCAGGCACCAGGACAGGCTGGAGGCCAACTGGCTGGAAAGCAACTTTGCAGATAAGGACCTGGGGGTCTTGGTGAACTCCAAGAACCACCATGAGCGAAGAATGTGACCTGGCCACAAAGGCGGCCAATGGCATCCTGCACTGCATTACAAAGAAAGTTGCCAGCAGATGGGAGAAAGATGATCCTTCCCCTCTACTCGGCACTGGTGAGATACCTGGAGTGTTGTGTCCTGTGTTGGGCTCCCCAGTACAAGAGTGAATGGAAAACAGCTGAGGGACTGGACCATCTTTCATGTTACAAAAGGCTGAAAGAGCTGAGACTGTTCAGCCTGGAGAAGGCAGGGTGAAATCTTATAAATATTTATGAACGTCTAACAAGAGGGTATAAGGGTATAAAGATGACAGAGACACAGCCTTCCCAGTGGTGCCCAGGGACAGGACCAGAAGCAGTGGGCACAAACTGGAACACGGGAGGTTCCCTCTGAACATCAAGAAACTTTTACTTTGAGGGTGACCGAGCTCTGGTACAGGTTGCCCAGGGAGGTTGTGGAGTCTCCATTCCTTGGAGACCAAACCCAAACAGACATAGTCCTGGGCAACCTGCTCTACCTGACATCCTGCTTTGAGCAGGGGGTTGGATTATATGATCTCCACAGCACCCTTCCAACCTCAGATATTCTGGGATTCTGTGAAAAGCCTGCCCCAATTTCAGCTGCAGACGTGAGATGGGAGTTCACACTGCAGGGCTCAGGAAAGAAGTCATTTCCAGTAGCAACGGTAACTACCAGACTGTCTGACATACAGCACTTTACTGAGGTGACCTGAACACTAGGGAGGGGGGCAGGGCTCCAACTCTTCATCTGAAGCATGCACAGAGAAAATTTTTTCTTTGGAACAATCTTCTACAAAGCAATGCTATCTAAGTGAAGGATGCAACAAGGCATAGCAGGTAGAGGGTAAAAGGTAGGGGAAAAAAAAAAAGGAGACAGAGCTTCCATGGAGAGTATGCTAGGATTCTGCCTGTCTTGGGTAGAAATTTTGAACTATTTCAGTCTTGGAAATCAAAGACCACATGGGCAATTTTTCAGTATTAGTTATAACTCACAGTACAGTTTGAGCTGTATTACTGCAGAAAGATTTCTTCTCTCATGTTGCCCTTTCCATGCTTTTTACAGAATGACAAAGGACCCCATTATGCTTATATTTCCCATGCAAGTCTCTGAAGTTTTACTGCTTACTTCCCACACTTAATTTACCAGCTGACTTGGAAATCAGTAAAAGGACCCCTCTAATTAGCAATAAATCATATCAACTACTACTATAGGATCACAGAATGGTTTGGGTTGGAAGGGACCTTTGAAGATCATCTAGCCCAACCCTCCTGCCACGGGCAGGGACATCTCTCACATGTCATTAATAAATAGCTCTCTATATATCTTGTTCTATAGATACCTAGTTCTCTGTTTACTATTAACACAACTATAGAGACAACTCTGAGTACATTTACTAGGCCAAATGAACACCGGAGAGAACTAACCCAAATTCTTCTTGCTTCATCAGTAGAACTTGCACATCTCAGTCAAATTCCATCAGTGGATTTTTACTTTATAAAAGCAACTGGTATTTTGGAATTTCAGAACTACCAGAACTACTGAACCAAGCTGCATAAATCTCCCTTTAAAACCTTCGTATCTGTCAGTCCTACAGAGATGCTTCCAACACCCAGGGTAGATGACACTACATACCTATGTGTACGCAAATGAACTCTACCCCAGGTTTTACAGCGTACATGGCCACAGCCTTCCAGACCAAAGCCTACTGGCTAATCCCGAGGAGGGAATCGGAAACTACAATGTTGATCGTACAAACTGGATTCTGAGTGCAATGTATCAATAACATCCAGTAGCTCAGACAAGGCATCATATTAATGTGGCACTATGGGTTTTGGATGTAAGACGCATTATGACTAGCCAGATTTTGAGCTGTCTGCAAGAGGCTGTGTAAATATACTTCAAGTCCTTTAAAAACATGTTAACATATGACAGGAATTATGCAAGGAATTACATTACCTGAAAGCAAGTATCAGCTGAAGTGTAGGGGCAGAACTACTCTACATCAAATCGCAAATGTGAACAAAAAGAGGGCTCCTAATTTCAGTAATTGCTGAATAAAGCCAAATATCCTAATACATACCTCGTACTAACACTTGGTTTAGGCTTCCCTTTTGTATGCATAAGATAGCAGAAGGATTCTGCACAAGCCAGTCTTCATCTGCATTTTAAGATTTTAATAGTAACCTAAAAAATAAAGAGACAGTAAATAACTGCAACACTTCAAACAAACTAGAAAATACAGTAGCATCTCTTTTCAAATACCCGTAAGTGTAATATGGAGAAATAAACCGTAGTAAAATGTCACATTACCAGAAAAAAAATCCATTTATTCTCTACCCATTCTTACCAGTTAGTTGTTACTACACAGACTTCTCTAAAGATTTTAAATTTAATTTTACTACCTCAGCACTTAAAAAACAGCTGTTCCAAGAACATTAACAAGTTCCTAGATTTTCATACTTCTGCTTGGATTAGGTGCAGTTCCGCTCCAAAGAGCCCTAAGTAATTTCTCTTTGGAGGGTTTTTAAAACACACGTATCAAACACAACACTGTCTTCTTCTAGGCCTGCCAATGCACGTGGCCAAAGTGACATTTCAACCTTCTCATATTACTGCCACTACAATAATTAGGATCCCTGCACACAACACAGTTATTAATGAAATTGGAGAACTAACTGCTCTCACTGTAGCTGTACTGAGGGTACGGAACCAGAAATACAGTCTCCTCCCTGTTCTGCAGCCTGCTGCGATACAGACACTTAACAGATGCTTTAAAGGGGCAAAGCTATATATGAAAATAATACAACTGAACTGGAGTAAAATATTGTCCTACTTTATAACAACATCTCAGAACAGAACTGCATACAAGTCTCATTAAAATATATTTTAATACTAAAAGCATTAGAAATTGATGCAACAGTTTAAGACTTTTGTAATTTCAAAACTTCTGCAATAGATCTGCTTGCATTTGCAGTAAGTGCAGTTGGAAGAACAAACAGCAAGTCAGAGTATAATTTTATTCCTGTTCCAATTATTAATTCATAATTAAAATTATAATTATATTTAGAAAGGCCTAAATAATAATTGAAAGCATTACTAAGAGCATTCATCCTGAACTCTGTGTGTCTTCTTCCAGAGTCCACACGCAAAATAATTACCCAAAGTGTTTAAAATGCAACAGCTCCCTGCCCTAGTCATTCAGGCTTCAAAACAGCTCTCACCCATACGCACACACTCCCCTCCCCCTCCACCCCCCCCAAAATCACCTCTTCTCCACAAATGCCTGATTTAAAATAACATGCGAGTACTGCAATGTTTGATAGGTTTAACATAATCCATTATTCAGGCTGGGAAAGCAGACATAGAAACATGTTGCAGAGCCAAGGAGCCCTAAAGAAATCTCTGAATAGAAGAAGTCTGCCTGGAAAGTCCCCGATTACAGCAACACAAGGGGATGAAGAACTCTGTATGCTCACAGATAAAGACTTCTGAAAACAATTTACCAACATCCTGAGGTCCTGTTTGATGATCAGAAAACTTAGCACACCCTGCAAATATTTGTTACAGAAAGAATTACTCTGGAAAGCCACACACAAGTTGCACCTTTCAGGCTAGCTTCACTTCAGGAACAGCCCCAAAAAGCAACTCAGAAGTGACATATCTGCAAATTACAACACACAACCACAAACATATACAATAAAGGTAACATTTACCTTATCAGGTACAGCTGAAAAACAGCTGAGGCTAGCAGCTCAGAATAAATACCATTTCAAAGTTGGCACAATTTAATGTCTGAGTCCTATAAAAAGTGCTGTTAATTCCTCAATCCCCCCCGGTGCAGCTTGCTATATATCAAGTTTCAAAAGTTCTGTTACCTATTCCATAACACAGACATTCAGGAAGATGGATACTTTCTTCCTAAAGCAGGTATGACAGAGCACAGCCCACTAACCCTTTATAACTAGAGCTATAATTATGCAAGTGCTAGTATTAAAATCATTTAGCAGGTCAAACACAACTGATGACTGTCAGCCTCGGGGACCAGGCTGGAATTGTCATCTGGACAAATATTAGTGTCCTGGGACATTACCTCCACATGGTCAAACTAATCCAGCTATTGATAAGTATGTACCCATCTTAAAGGGAAGCTACAAACTGCACATCTTTCAGTGTGTATTTTAATATTATGAAAAAAACATAATAATTAGGCTTTTCTTCCTGTCTTCCCGTCTACAAACAGGAAGGCTAAGTCCTCCAAAGGCCCAACACAGTCTCTCCAGTTATCGTAAGAGCCAGCGTGTGTTACCTTCTCCTTCTTGGCCACCCAGATTTACTGAGGAGAAAGCAGTGAGCCAGATTCTTGGCAACTAGTAGATACTAGTGACAAAACTGTAGCCAAATAAATCTGGTATGTTTTTGAAGACAACCCCTAAAACCAGCCAGTAAGACCATATGGTAGTGTTACAAATTGATCATTTACCATAACTCAAATACTTACAAAGTGATTATATAGTGTGTGGGTTTAATTTTTTATTTTTTTTTTTAAACAGTATGTCTCTGCCTCTGCACTACTTCTTCAGGATTCTCTCTCTACAGGAAATTACGATCATTTCAACCTCTACCCCATGTAAGAGACTTTATGATTAACAGTAATTACTTTGTTAGACCTGAACGTGTCCTGGCAGCTAGTGCTGAGAAAAGGGATTTGTAAGAGCGAGCAGGAGCACAGCAAATAGTTATTTTTAAAGTAACACTCTGAATCATCTTAATTCATATGATAAAGCTTTTCTTTAAATTAAAGCTCAAAGTGGGTATGGTGCCAAGCGAAATGAATCTGAACTACTCTAAAAGGCTAACAGCACGATAAACATGCCTATTCTGAAGAGAACAGATACATCACACACAAACTGAGCGATACTGTGCATATATTGTGCCATTCATTATCAAGGAAAATTGAAAACCAGCTCCTCGGTACAACCTACCTCAAGTAACACGTATTCAGCTTAACAGAGTACTCTCCACTACCGTCTTCCAATACTGAATCGTGATGTGAGACAAGCTCCAAGCTGCCACAGCAGCATACCAAGCAGAAACAGCCACGACAATCTACAACACTGAAGGACATTTTACATTTACCTTGCACACTGATGCTATGCAGCTTCACTGGCTTGACCGACAGAAAAGGTTGTTGTTGTTTTTATTTAACAGGATTTTTGGTGGCTACTGTAACAAAGAGCTTCCCCCCTATATTTCCCGCCATTTCCCCCTTTATTTTAAGTCTACTTTAAAAATTACCTAGCAACACAGAACAGCAGCATGGGTAAATTTTGACTTCCACTGAAGTGGACCATACGACATTTTGCACCAGCAGGCATAGGTATCATTCTGAGAGTAGCAAAGCCACTATCCATCACACAGAAAGGAAGCACTCCAATGCCGAGCTGTTCTCAGGAAAACACACAATCCCTTGTGGCCATTTATTTGGGGTTTCCAAAGGGAACCCGAGATGATCCGCAGAGCTGTGTTCATGTTTGCATTTGTTCAGGTTTACCTATCAAAAGGTAACAGATAAAAATGTTGGCTGCTGATATACTAACAGAAGATACAGTGCTAGACATTTTTAAATGGTCAAGCAATCTTTTCCTCCCCATTCTTCTCTTAGTTTTTACTCACGTCTGGCCAAACCCGCTCTCCTTATCATGAGTAGCCTCTGCTGAGGACAAAAGCACACATTTGCAACAAAAAAACCATCAGAGAGTAAATCAGTTGTCACCCTGGCATCACTGCATGGCTGCCAGTGATTACAGGAGACAAACTGCATCATAACCTGTCCCAATCTTATGTTCCCCAAATTCTTTCCGTAAGAGCATATACTTGCAGACAGCTAGAAGCAAGTAAGTATTTAAAGGAAAAAGTGAACATTACCAAATTAAGGCTCAAAAGGAAAATTAAGTTCCTAGAAACAAAAGAGCAAATACTACTTGAACTGAGCCAGCAAGGTATTCAATTTCCTTGACAAGACTATTAAAAACATTTTACATCTCTTTCAGTTTTCAGTTTCTAAGGTATAGTGTATCTGAAGTTAGCACCTCACATGGAATGAGGAATGTGAATGTAGTAATATTCCTCTTCTGGAATCAGATTTCAAAAAAGAAAAAATGGTGGCAGTTACTAGTGACTAGGTAACAAACCCGTACCAGTGACAATACTATGATCAAAGAACATTTATTTTTTTTGTTCTGCCTGGATTGCGAAACTTCACTCATACAGAAGTTAAACTATTTCTTCAGTATTTGGGGAATGATAAGCATGTCTGAAAAGATTTAAACAGAAAGGACAAAGATTTCATCTGTGCAGCTTAAGCAAGGTCTGAATTTGAAGATACTGAAATTTATAAGTACTTTGTAAATTTAATTAAAATTGTTCATTTGCGAGTCATTATGTTCCTAGATGTAAGACCGTGCATTTAATACAGAAGGAGGATCCTTTTTTTTTTGTAAAAAAGATTCTCTACAATTTCAAAGAAGTTTGGATTTGATCAGTAGAAGGGAATGAAGTCTCTAGTTTCTTAATGTCACTCAGGCTTCTATTGCACAGTATAATTAAAGTGTTATGTTTTTATATATATTTTATATATAAATACATACATTATATTTTTGCAAAATTTTGTGAACTGTGAGGCTGTGGTTATACAAAGTCATTAAAATAATCCTATACGAAATAGCAACTCAATCCTGTATTTTTGAATACAGCCCCCTCCCCTATATCGCTCACTAACATTCCCATGTCCAGTTGAGGAATCTGCAGCACCAGAATAGCTGGCTAATCAGACAGTGATTTTCATAATTATCCATTCTACGTATGTTGTCATTAATGCAGCAGAAATGTCTTCAGATGTTCTGATTTCTATTGTCAATGATTGTGTTCATGCTGAGCAGCCTGGAAAAACATCCAGGTAACAGTATCATTTTCTCCATTCAGACTCACGTGCCCTTTTACATGGATGCAAAGTTCCTGAGCATTTTGTGATACTTTACCTTACCATGAACAGCTAAGAAGTACAAAAATGTTGAAGGAGCAAGGGAATAACCTTTAACCCTCATCATCTCTTTCACCTAGAAGTAATGATGTATAAATGTGACTTCACCAATTAACAAGAG